TATATATATATATAAAATTTTGACGGCTATGCGCGGCTGATAGAGCGGACATGATGGAGTGGGTCCATCACTCCTTCCGTGCCTGGCCTTAATGAATCGTAATTATGGGAGCTGGCCCTTTCACTCTGGAGTCCGGCTTAGCGACAAGTTGCGTTGACTGGAAGGAAGCTCCAACAAAGCCGAGGTGTCCGAGCCCCTTTTCGCCACTGGCTTTCCCCGCTTCACCTCCTTCCATGCGATTTCCCGGTGGCTCCGTCGCTCTCATCGTCGGAGATCACCCGCCGACACCCGTCTCCGTCGATCCTCTTCATACGGTCAACTTGCGGCGTAGGGTTTCAGCCTCCCTCCTTCCTGCCACCGCTCCGCGAAGAAAGTTAGGGTTGCGGCCAGGTAGCTTGAGTTTCACTTGTCTTCGTGCAGTCTAAGTGGATTTCTGTTCTGTTCTAATCGATGAAGAGGTTGAGGTCCTACGGCGAGGATCTGGATGATGTTGTGGGAAAGGAGTGGGAGAGGCGAGAGATGGACGCCGACCGCTCGTCATCGCGCCGTCGGTTCTATGTGAAGTCGGAGAGCTTGCGAAGATCGTCTTCTTCGTTGTACGACAGATCGATGGATGAAGATCGGGAGGCCATGCGGCCTCCGCGGAAGCGGTTCGACCACGATGTGGACGGGTTTGATAGGCGGAAGATCTTCGATCGGTATCGAGATGGCGGTGGAGGCGTGGATCGGGCGATGCATGTTTCGTCGCCTCGAGTTCCGTATGGGAGCGAACGGATGCAGCGGTCGGAGAGCTTTTCGACCATAAGGAGGGATTTTCCAAAGGGGTTTAGATCGGAGAGGGATCGGTCCCGGCGGGAAGGCTTTGGGGGTTTGTCGTGGAGGAGATTGAGCTGTGGGAAGGAGGCTGCTGATGAGGAGAAGAGGTCTCCGGCAAGGGATTCGGAGGATAGGGGCAGGACGCGGTCCAGGGATTCATCCAGCGGGGAGCAGTCTAAAGATGGTGAGGCTGTGAAAGCAAAATTGGAGAAGGTTCAAAGGGAGAGCTGCAGCAGTAGTGAGATGGAAGAAGGGGAGCTTGAACCCGAGCCTTCTATTGATACTGGAGCGCAGGCTGAGAGGTACTCCCAACATTTTAAAGATAAAAAGGATGTGATTAAGAATGTGTCTGAAGCTAGTTCAGAGAACAAGGACGTGCAATTGAGTATGAAAACGTCAGATTCTGTTAATGGGACTTCTTATGGGGAGAGATCAATGGAGATTGAAGTGACACAGATAACTAGAAATGTCACATTGCAGGAAGATCGGATCGAGATTGTCGAGAAATTCAATGAGGAAATACGAGCGGAAGGAGAAGGCTCTATTGAATTGAGACGGCAAAGAGAAAGTTTTGCTGAACGGCAAGGGGAAGCAAAGGACTTGCCTGAAGATAATTATAAAGAGGAAAAGCCTGAAGATATTCCTTGCGGGGAGAAAAAAGACTTGGCTGAAGATACTTCTTGTAGAGAGAAGAAAGAAATACTTAGTGATGAAAGATCTCCTTTGCCTTCCCAATTTTCTATTCTTGAATCGAAGAATCAGGTTGTGGAGCCGGTGCTCAAGGATGATGAGCTGGCCAACGTTCATAGTTCTTCACTAGATGGAAATTTAGAAGAAATGGTAAAAGAAGTGCATTTTAGAGAGGTTAAAGTGGATGACGAAATGAAAGAGGTGACTTGCGTTGACCTTGAAGTTGTGCAGAGGAAAGACAAAGGTATTGATCAAGTTGGTTTTGGGGCGGAGCAAAGGAAAACAAAAAGTTTTGATCTTCAAGCTGAAACTGTTGGTGAACTTGGTTACTGTAATTCCGTTAAGGAAATTAAATCTGAAAATAACTTGACATCGAAGCCAATATTAGAGAATACAAGAGACAAGGGCAAAAGTATTGCATGTTCTCTTTCTAACATGGCAGATTCAGCCGATGATGAGGATGCTGTGGAAGGTCCCAGTAGCAGCAGAGGCTTTGAACTATTTTTTCATGATCATATCATTCAACCAGATAAGGCTAGCATTGGTGGGCTTTTTGGTGGAAGGAGCAAGAATGAGAAACTTAAATTGGAACCACTGGACCTCTCTCTCAGCTTACCGGGTGTTCCACTAGACCAGAATTCTAAGCCTCCAAACTCAAACCCCTGTTCTCCTGGTCGTACAAAGAGTATTCAATCTTACCCATGTTCCTTCCGGACAATCTCTGATGGATTCACAAATTCAATTTCATTCTCCAGTTCTCAACCATTGGTACACAATCCTAGCTGTTCTCTCACACAGAACTCTTTTGAAAATTTTGAACAGTCAGTTGGTAGCCGTCCTATATTTCCTGGTGTAGATCAGGTTTCCAGTGGCACCATACGGCAATCTCAGACATCCATTGAGCCCAAACGAAAGGGAGGAGCTGGGGCACTCTTCCATAGAGTGCTCTTGAATGGTAACCATTCCCAGGACTCCATTCCTGGCGTGAATGGGCACCATAATTTGAACTCAAACCCATTATTGAGGCAACCAAGTTTCCCAAGGCAGTCTTCCCCTCAGAGTGTTGGATCCCGTGACACTTTGTCTGAGCACAGTAAGGATAAGAGGATGTTAACAAGAGAAAGAAGCTTTAACAGTCTGTGTAAGAGTGAGCAACGAGAAGGTGAACAGATTGTTGTTAATGTGCTGAGTGTTGTTGAGAGGATCATCACCAGGATAGTCTCAGAACCCTTACATGTGATGGAGAGGATGCTTCATGATATGTCAGAGCATTCCATGGAGTACCTGAAGGATTCTATATGCAAGATGCTTTCTAACACGGATAAACGTGGGCAAATACATGCATTGCAGGGTACCCTCCAGAAAAGATCTGACTTGACTGCAGAAACTATGTCAAGATGCCCGAAGACTCTGTTGGAGATATTGGTGGCTCTAAAGACTGGACTCCCAGATTTTCTTCAGAGATCCAATAATATTCAATCTTCTGATCTTGTTGAGATCTATCACAACTTGAGATGTCACAATATTGCATGTAGGAGCATGCTTCCTGTTGATGATTGTGATTGCAAAATTTGCTCTAAAAAGAATGGATTTTGTAGCGCTTGCATGTGTCTCATTTGTTCCAAGTTTGACATGGCGTCTAATACTTGTAGCTGGGTGGGCTGTGATGTGTGTCTCCATTGGTGCCATACAGATTGTGGGTTAAGAGGTTCTCATATTAAAAATGGCCGAAGTTCTTCGGTGGCTCCGGGAGCCACTGAAATGCAGTTTCATTGTGTTGCCTGTGGGCATCCTTCAGAGATGTATGGCTTTGTGAAGGAAGTTTTCAAGATGTGTTCCAAGGACTGGAAAGTTGAAAATCTTGCTAAGGAACTTCAATATGTGAGGAGAATATTCTGTACCAGTAATGATACGAGGGGTAAAAGTTTGTACCAAGTTGCTGGACAAATGCTGGTGAAACTGGAAGACAAAAAGAAGCATTCTGAAGTGATTAAAAATATCATGTCATTTCTTTCAGGTGAGTCACTTTATTTGCTTGATTTCATTTTTTTTATTTTTGTGATTATAAGCTTGTTCTTCTCAATAACAAATTTCATATTTTATTTTCTCTTGTCACTTGAAGTATATTTTTTTGTCTTTCCATTTATAGTTTAGTTGTTGATAGATTTTTTTAATGCTTTGATATGAACCTGATAGAACGTTTTATTGTGTTGATATAAGCAATTGGAGGTGATTTTTTACTTTTTTATCGATGCACTTCATTTGCCAACTTGAATGGAATAAGTTTGATAAATGTGACATTTATTCCCATTATTTTTTTTCTTGAGTATCGGACAATTATTTTCTCTTGGGTTCCTCCATTTGTCACTTCTCATCTTTATGAGATAAAATTTTTTGTGGCACCAGATGAAGTTCATGTCCGTTATTTTTTTTTTTTTTTTTTTGCTCGAAGTTTTATTATATTTATATGTGATGATCAATGACCCATATGAGACATCTGCAACTATCTGTAAGGTTTTTGTGAATCTACCACTTGAAAAGCTACTGTCGAAGCAATTGATTTTAGGGGGATTTACAGACATACCACCTGAAACTAGTATATTTACATATCAAAACCTAAACTTTACAATTTACATACTAACCATCTGAAATGTCAAATGTGCTCTGACATACCACTCTAATACACCGTCAGCACCTACCTTCGTTCCTGCACGAATCCCCTTATCGTCTCCGTTGAAATCAATTTCAGCCAGACTTCCAGCTACTCACCCTTCTTGCTTTTAAGGGGAATCTCGAGATTACCGAGATTTTCTGCTGTGGAAGGTTGGGAGCAAACCTATGGCCTTCTCCCGTGCACCGATAGCAACCTATTACTTGTTTTGGTTTATGGCTTGCTCATGTTCAAGGCTCCGTTAGGCTTCACCGATCCATGCCTGCTCCATGCCTGCGAGCCAGTAGCATCTTAATGTGCTGCCAGTAGCATCTTAATGTGCTTTGCTGGCAAAAGCGGAGGAAATAGCTGCTTGAAGTCTTGCAAGGGCATCAAGCTCACACTGGAAAAACCGGCTAGTTCTTGTAGGAGCCTCTTCCGTGATAGAACCGGAAGGTGCTACTTTGAGCGACTTCAAAGTTGCAGGAATAGGAAGAGCTTCTTCATTAGTCGAGATTGGAGGAGAATTAGCAACTGGAAGGTTTTCAACTTGAATTTTCGATTCCTGGATTGGCTTGCCATGGCAGAGACCCATGGTAAAATAATTCCAGCTAGGTAAGAGAGAGAAAAACTATTTACATATCTAACTGTTAAATTTTAATTTTTACATATACGCCTCTTTATCTATGCATGAGAAGGTGCATTTCACCTTTAAAAGGTTAAAATGGTGGCAATTTTTATGCGGCATGAAAGATTTGAGCGGTAGAAATGTAAAAAATAAAGTTTAAATGTCAGATATGTAAATGCATAGGAATGGGGTGGTAGATAAGGTAAACGCCCCTTACATTTATTATCAATACCTAAAGCTATTTCTTTGTCGAGCCAACAAATATCTCGAAGCGTTGAGCGTACTTGCCCCTGAATCCATACATAAAGTAGAACGTAATTTAGCATGTAGCAGGCTTTTAGGATGACTTGGTGTTTACTATATGAGCTTTGGTAGGCTTACAAGTTTTATCATTATCATTAATTTCTTGTGTATGGAATCCTATGTTTAAAAAGTGATGTTCTCGAACACAAACTAGATGGTTCTCACTCGCTAAAATTAGCAATCATACATTCCAAGGTCATGTAATTCCCATTTAATCTGCTTCTTATTAAAGCTTGGTAATTGGTATTATGGTTAAGAAGTGTTGACACAACCTGCACAATTATTAACGAAAGTATTAGATTTAATGAGTAGTTAGGAGCATACCTATATTGTGGCCAATTGAAGCATCAAGAAAGATTAAAGATGATCCCATTTTATGATTCAAATACCATACCTTTCTCACTTTTCTAATCTCAAGCTGCATTGTATCAGTTTTCACTTTTGCTGAATAGTGATTTAAGGTGGGGTTTTTCGAATTTGTATTCAGTTTACTTAGCCGCATTGATATAAATGATGAATGCTTTGATACATAATGATGTATTAGAAATAATTGATTTGATGTGAGTTTGATTATGGATTATGGATCCTTTTGAAATATTGGCCTTCTTTCTCGTAATCCTTTGAATGCCTTCAACTTCCTTAAGACACTTAATTCGTAATTCATTAATCCAGTTACAAGCCATAAAATCTTTATTTATAAAAATGCGGTTGCAAGGAAAGACCAAACTAATTTGTAGGAAGATTTACATCCCTACCACTCAATTCCTATTTATTTAACATATCTAACAACCTATATTTTAATTTTTACATACATACCCACCTTATCGATCCATAAGAAAGTGTATGAACATGGGGAACATAATCTGAAGGTTTTGACTTCGTATGTTGCCATGCATTATGTCTTGTTGAACTCTTATCTATAAACTATATTACTTCTCCCTAAGATTTACATTATATTTACGGGAAATTTACGGACATGCTACAAAATTGTTATGCATTTACCTGTCAAACACCTAAACTTTAATATTTGCATTCATAACACTCAAATTTTTAACATTACATAAAAATAATATTTTTTTAACTTTTGAAGAGTCGAATGCATTTTATTATGCATTGGTTTGTACCACCAAAGTGTTATAAATGTAGGTATCAAATTTTAATTGTTAGATATGTAAATCCATAAGAGTTGTGGTACGTATGTAAATTTTATGTATTTCTTTATTAAATTCAAATATTTACATACTTGCCACTTAGTTACTGTGTATCGACATTTCTAACACTTAAACTTCACTTCTTACATAAATGCACCTGATCTTTGGATGAAAATGAGTATTTTATCCTCTGGAATTTATGTACGTAGCACATAATTTGTATGTATTTATATATCTTCATATATATGTATTTATATATGTCACACCTACACACACATAACACTCGATATCTTTAATATCAAATAAAAAATAGCACTATTATCACTTTTAAACTCAAATAATTATTTTTATGCATAGATTTAAAGCACGTAAGTATGAAAGTTTAGGGTTAGATATGTGATTACAATAGAATTTTGTACTAGGAATGTAAATTTTTCTTAAACTTTTAAAAATCAAAATAGTGGTATTTGGGAGATGATATGAAATATTTGTGGCATAGCGTTAAAGCATGAAAATATTATGTATGTAATCATGAAAATTTTGCTGTTAGATATGCAAATACATAAGAATTATGTGGAATGCATGTTTATTATAGCAAATTTACGGACTGTTCTTTCATCACATTACTTACAGAAAGTGAATCCAGCTCCAACATTGCTCCTCCTCTCTACCCTCCCACAGAACCACCCAGAAACAACGATCAAAGAGGCAACGCTGCAGCTTTCCCAATCGAAGAAACCCCATGGTTATCTCCCATTTCTTCAACCAAAATATCTCGCCTGCAACACAACACTGCTTCTGATGACAATCAGCTCTGCAGGCAAAGGAAGGATTCTTCTCTACTCCAAATAAACTTTGAAAAGAAACCAATGGTTGATGAACTGGAGAGAGTTGTTGGATTCAAGCAGGCCGAGGCTAAGCTGTATCAGGAGCGCGCCGACAATGCTAAACGAGAGGCCGACGGGCTGAAGTGCATCGCGACGGCGAAAAATGGGAAGATTGAAGATGAATACAGAACAAAAATGGCGAAATTACAGCTATATGAGGCCGAGGAAAATCGTCGGCAGAAGATGGAAGAATTGCAAGCTTTGGAAAAGGCACACCATGATTTTGTTAGTTTGAAGGCGAGGATGGAGGCTGAGATTAAAGATCTTCTTTTGAAAATGGAAGCTACCAGTCGTAATTTCAATGCCTGAATAAGGATCTTTTTTTTTTCTCTCTGTATTGTAATGAGTAAATCTCAGTTTTTTTTTATTATTATTATTGTTCTTCATTCTGTTGTATGTTGTAGGTTAGATAATCAGGTTTTATGAGTTTTAATTTTATTAAGCTAACTAGATTTCTGTACAGGAAGGTGCTTTTATGGATAAATGGAAAGTAAGTGGATTTTTAGAAGTAGCTTATGTTTGAAGCTAACATGTTAACGGTAACCCTGACTACATTGTGTGTAAATGTTTTCCCTTATCTTTGAGTTGGTGTATGCCACTTTTCATGAAAAGTTATTCCATGCGAATCCTTGCGGTGTCCGATCTTCACCGTCCATCACAGTTTTGGTGGGACTTATTTTTAATTTTTTTTTAAATTCCCATCGAAGTCGTGATGGACGGTGGAGATCGGACACCGCATGCATGTCTGCATGTGAGATGTCCGCACGGAATAACTTTTCCTTTTCCACCCCGTTAAGCAATTTGGCCGGGTAGTAATTTGATTGTTTGAATCATGTTATATTAAATTTATTGAATTGAATAGTAATTCATATTAATTTTAAATTTTTGGATAGATATTCATTAAAAAAACAGGGCGTTTACTTGCCTATCATTTAAATCTAACGACTCAAATTTAAAATTTTATATTTTAACCACCCTAAAAATTCCTTTTAATCTTAATTTCAAATAATCCACTAATGAATTTTTAAGTTCTTTGACGCACTTTTCTCCTGAATTAGAGAACATGGAATTATAATGTTGAGGCACAATATTCGTTTAATAATAATTGTCATAGGGGGTTGTGAATGTCGTTGAATATTTTTTGAGGTAGTAGTCTGCTGTAAATGTTGTAGACAGTGATTGTAATGTTAGCTTGTTGTGGAGTCTGTGGTTTAAAACTATCATAGTGATCGACCATGCGGGTCGTAGGCAGTAGCTTCAAGAGCGTTTGTTGGTCATGTATGTCGTAACTGGTCATATAGGCTATAGTGATGAGTTGTAGTAATGATTGTAAGCCGTAGAAATGAAAGTTAGGAGATGCATGAGTTGTGGACTACGTCGGTCGTAGTAAAAACTGTAATTATAGTATACCACAGAGGACATATAACATAGTGGGGAGCTATGAGAGAAGAACTTCAAGAGTTTGGAGAATTTTACAGTATTCTAAGATGATTGTAAGCAGTTATTGCATGGAGTTACACCATACTCTAGGTGTATTATTACATCATTTTTTGGGCACATTGTTGTAGCCTCTTCAAAGTGCATCATTACACTATATTTGATGTGCGCTTTTACACGGTATTCGAGATGAGTCGTTACATCGTATTTGTGGTGCATTGTTGCATAATCTTTGGGTTTGTTGCTACATCATAAGTTTCATCAATGTCATTGAGTAATGGGAGACTGATGGTGGTCCACAGAGGCCGACGAGAAGTTGTTGGCGACCGCATGAGCAAAATATATTCATCAGGTGTTCGATCTAAAATAACACTTAGATTTGATCCTTTCCAATTCTAGCTCCAATCCCTCCTCCCTCCTCTTCATGAGAGGGGTAGGGCCATTTTATAGAGTATGGGAGTGTCTTCCCTTCAAATAATGAAGGATTCATGTAAACACCATCGAACTACCCAGAGAGAATCATGTAATTGCATGATGATTTGTGAACATTTGAGGGTCCAAAAAATGTCAAAATTGAGCAGTCCTAGGCATGTTGGATTCATCTCATCAAGATGTTTAAATTGATTATTAGCTTATCAGATTTATAATATGTTTGACAATTTAAATCGTCACTCAAAGCATCAAAATGTACTTTAATGTCTTGATCCGAAGTTTGTTTGACTTGATTAGACAAATTTTGGTCTCATCGTGTTTGTCTAATCGAACTGGTTCATTTGACTATAAATTTGTTGAAGTCGGAGTTTTGGATTATTTTTAATTTCAAAATAAAGTTTTTTTTTTGTTAAAAATTGCCTTGGGATTCGTGTTGATCGTCTCGAGATTATGTCAAACGATAAAACTTATTAATGGCGTATCAATAATGAAAAGTAATTAAAATCTAAATTCTATTCAAATATTGTTAAAGTTGTAACAAACTTTAAAATTTGAATTTAACATTAAAATTATTAGGTAAAGTTAATTTATTCAATCAATTTATAGTGGATTTGCTGAATTTATTAAAAAATTATGCTGATTTTCCGAAATTAAGAAAATGAGTGATATTTTACGAATAATATTTTAAATCTATCGAAATATTGTTTTGATTGAGATATAGTTAATATTTGAATATTAACTAATATTCTTTATTTTATTAAAATATATAGATGGATGTTGTTAGTATTTAAGATTTATCAAAAAATTTAAGCATCATTAATTTTGAAATTTGCCTTTTAATATTGATGTCTGCTAAACATTTGCGGCAATAGATTAATAGAATATCGTATTAGCATTGCACGAGAATACACACACTTGCATGCAGGAAAACAACAGGTTGAGATACCATAAATTTTTTCATGTGGAAAACATTGAAAGTGAAAAAACCACATAGTTTAATCTAGTTGTAAAAGTCCACTATAAGTTAATTTTTACAGAGATATCTTGTCTCACGGTTGGGAAATGATTACAAAATCTTCTTAATTACAACGTCGGCGTACAGATGAATTTGTTGCAAGGAACGAACGACGATCAATAGCGATTGACGACGTTCGGCAAGTGATGGCCGGCAGAGTAGATGGTGGCCGATGACGGCAAAAAGTGTTACTGGATTTCAGTTCCTTTCAAGCTCTTAACTCCTCCTCATGAGGGAAAAAAATTGAGCACGTAAGACGTACGCAGCGCTGCGTACGTCATGGAGGTTATTCATAGGATTTTGGGGGGTTATATCTGTGTTATATCCTCTATAACATACTTGTACCTTCTAGTAAGTTTTGTGTTTCAGTTTACATATATTTATATATTACAGGTAGGTTACAGAGAGGTTACAGAGGGTATAACACGAATACAACTCTCCAATTCCCTCTAAATAACCTTCTTGACGTACACAATGCTGCGTATGCCTGAGAGGGGTGAGACTTATTCATAAATTTATAGATGCAATTAATGCAAGACTATGAATAACTTTGATTGGACAAACGGGAGAGGTTCTCTATGTCAAACATCGTTGCAATTAAGCAAGCTTGAGTTCTTTTAATTCATTTTATCGAGATGCTTGATTTGGCTATATATTCGACAAAGTTAACATTTATTTGATGTTCTAAATATGTTCGAAAAACTTTCAAAAATAGATCAAATCAATTTTGATATCATTAAGTCCATTGTCAATAAAATTATTATGAAATTAGTGTCATTTGATAAAAATTCATTGATAACTTATCACTTTACCCTATTAATCTATCGGTTTGAAAATTTCAAAATCCTGCAAGCTCAAAATTATTTGTGTCTATATATATATAGAGTACTGAATCATTATAAGAAAAATGTAAGCATATATTTAATCACAAACTCAATTTTAAAATGTAAATTGAGATAAAACCTTAAGATAAGATTGAAACTCAATATTTTTATTTACATATTTAAGCTATAAATAAATAAAAATCTAATATTAAATATAAATTTTCAAACGTTTTATAAACAACTCAATTTAAGGGTTTGTTTGGAGCAGCTTATAAGTATGGGCGGCATTTTCATTGAAAACGCCGCCGTACCGTTTCGTTCGTGCGTTTCGTCAGCTTATCTGAAACTGCATTTGGGTTTTTGCACTTAACGCAGGCTGCGGGTCGACCCCTGCAGCCGGCCCGCTTGCCGCGTTTCAAGATAAACAAGCACAAACTGCCCCAAACGGACCCTACAAACAGCGATGCAATACAAAAATACTAGCTTTCCTTCACTTATGTTTTTATTTGAAAGAGTTGTAAACAGTACAATTCCCAGTGTGGGACTAAAAGAGATCCTAACAAATCTCTAGCGGTGATACTTTATATTAAACAATACTAGGGATATTTACACACGTTCCCCGATTCCTATATTTACATAATAACACTTAAATTTTCTTTTTATATTTATATCACCAAAATATTTCATATCACCCAGTATATTTTATATCAAGATCAAAAAGTTAGACACAACAATCATTTCTTAATACAACGGTTGTAAACAAGGGTCAAGTCGGCAGATGATGACGACCGATGATGGTTAACAGTAATTGATATGCGACGTTAGAAGATGGTTTGGGCTACATAGGTCGATGGTTATTCATCATGTCTTAAATACAAATGCTATCCATAACAAGCATATTTGAAATATAATGGTTGTAAATAGGGATTGACGATAATAAATGATGATCATTGGCGCTAGTCGATGGTGGCTCAGAAGGAGTGGCCGACGATTATGGAGGTCGGTGGTTATTATTGAGGTTTCAATAATAGTTTCAGATACGTCATTTGTATTTGGAATATAACATGGGTCGCCAACAATAGGCAACGAAGCATGGTAGCGGTCGATTGTGGTTGGCGGCTATGAAGACTCATGGTTATCACAAGATATTTAAGTTTTAAATATGATTATCATATTTAGAATACACCGACTGCAAAATAAGGTTTATTGAGGGCTAATAGTGAAGACTATTTGTTATCATCTTGGTTAATTTATGTGTAACTTCCCTATCCACAAAATTGAATGGTTCAAGATTATCTCTCTTCATTATAGATGAATTCTTAATGATTTTAAGTGCCTTGATGATTTTGAAATAAAGTGATATTTGACTTGTTGGATTTCTCTTGTAAGGCGCTCGATTTGGCTCTAAACATGACACATTTAGAGTTTATTCAACCAATCAAATGACGATCAAAAGCCCCCTAATTGTGCTTCAACTGATTGATCCGTACTTGATTGGAGTCGGGTTAGACTATTGGGCTGTCCTTATCAATACGATCAATGTCCCTACAAACTTGTTGAATTTCTTATAAAATGTGCATTAGAGATTTGTGGTTGATGAAAATTTATTGATTAGTCATCAATACTTATTTTTAAAATTAAAATAGTACTATTTTTTATGATATAAGAGATCTGAATACTACAAATATAACAAAATAAAGCTCAGATATTAGATCTATAAATATAAAGGTATTTGATGGCATGCATGTAAATATCCCAAATTTAAACTTAAGGAAATGAAATTTCTTATAAATGTTATTTTAAAAAAGAAATTTTAATTTAAGTTTTAAGAAAATAATTACAGATCATTATCTGTAAAAATGTAGATGGGCCTACGTGGCCTGTGGTTTGATCCATGGGCCACGCATGGATGATGGAACGCAGGACACCTGCACGGAGACATAAGGATTGCCACGCTGGCGATCTCCGTGGACCAATCGAACGGTCCATTATTTACTTCCGGTCAATGCCCAAACTTTTACGGTCAGCCCCTACCCCACCACACCCCATCACTATAAATACCCTTCTCGCGCGCTGAAACCGTTTCATCCGCCTCTACTTCTTCTGCAACAAAACCCCTAAACCCTAAACTCTCACTCCGGAATTCTTTTCGTTTCTTCGGCCTCATGGTGAGGACAAAGCTGACTGCTCGCAAGTCAACCGGCGCGAAGGCTCCGCCCATGCACCTGGCGACCAATGCGGCGAGGAAGTTTGCTCCGGCGATCGGCGGCGTCAAGAAGCCCCACTGCTTCCGTTCCGGAACAGTGGCTCTCAGAGAGATCAGGAAATACCAGAGGAGCACCACGGAGCTGCTCATCCGCAGGCTTCCATTTCAGAGGTTGGTGCTTGAAATCGCCCAGGACTTCAATACTGATCTCCGTTTCCAGAGCTCTTCTGTCGTTGCTCTCCAGGAGGCTTCTGAAGCATACTTGGTCGGGATTTTTGAGGATGCTAATATCTGCGCCATTCACGGCAAGAGGGTTACGATTATGCCGAAGGACGTTCAACTCGCTCGCAGGATCCGCGGTGCCTTAGCTTTTTTTAGTTGGGAGTTTATGCTTTAATCGATTAAGAAATGCACATATTAGTTTTTTTTTTTCCCCCGTTTTTTTTTTCTTTTTCTTTCTGGTCAAAGGTTAGAACTCTATACGGGCGACGGTGTGTGTATAATGTAAGTTGGTCATGAAGATGGGTTCAATTAGGTCATCTTCTGGTTTCTGATGTGATGTTTTTCCATTGTTGCAATAGATCTTTTGTTGGTCTCTCATTTTAGTTAATTCGTTGAAGATTTTGATTTCTGTTGGGAAACATGATGCTATCTGCGCAAGCGAGATTCTATTATGCGCTATCGGCACTTAATCTGTTAAAAAATTGCTCCTTAAGTACAAACTCTGATCTTAAATAGCTATCGGCCCAAAATTTTATTTCGATTTTACATTAACAAATGTTCCTCATTTCTCCATGCGCCTCCTTCGATGGCTGTCCCCAACCTGGAGCTCGTTTTCACTGAGACTCACCTTGACATTGTTATATCTACGAACTGTTGTGAGTAGTTGAATACGTGGTTCTCAACTCATGTGTTGTTGCCACATTTTTTGGGTGTATAATTGGAAAAATTATTTCATACGGATCGGGCACCTCCGATCCGGACCGTAAATCACCTGATTTACGGTCCTGATGTATTTCGGTGGGCTCCACCCAAAATTTTTTTTTTTAAGACGGAAATTATCTTGGCCGTAGATCATCGTGATCTACGGCCAATATCGAGCACCGCATGCAGAGATGCATGCGGTGTCCGCACGCAATAATCCCTCGTATAATTGCGCTTTATTTAACTTGCGTCATTTTATCATTTTTAGAGTTCATTGTTTTATTGTAAGATTCTTGACGCAATAAAACAAGGGGTGTTGGTGGTGGTTTGTAATGGTTGATAAGCGGTGCTCGATAGTAGTTGGTGGTTGTGAGAGCATGAAATGTTTGTTTGGTCTTTGGTTTAGAACAACACTATGAATCAACTTCTAAGTTCAATCTAGCCAAGTGCTTTTCTCTTCGCTTCTCTTCATGAAGGGGGTAAGGTTTTATTTATAGAGTATGTGAGTGTCTTCTATGCAAAGAAGGAAGGATTTCAGATAATTTAATTGGAAAAGCCAAGGAGGTTATCATTGCGATATTATGACTTTTTGTTCATATTTAGATGCCTTAATAATGTTAAAATTGAGTGATTATGAGTTTGTTGTATTCGTTTCATTGATACGCTCAATGTGACTAAAAGTTTGTCAGGTTTTTAATTTGTTTGACCCTCAAATTAATAACTCTAAGCTTTCAAATGTGGTTTAATGGCTTGATTAGAACTTGATTTGACTCAAATTGAAACAATTTTGGTGCATTAAGTTTGTCTCATGAGTTGATCAATTTAATTATAAGTGTACAAAAATTAGAGTGCTAAATGATTTTTAATTTGAGTTTAAAGATTTTTTGCTAAAAAAAACATTGATATTCATACCAATTCCATTAAGATTCATAGTAAATGATAAAATTTATTGATAAAGTGTCAATTGCCCCCTTTTTTTATGATTTGGTTTCTTGTCTGAAAATTATCAACATTCAGAAAATTGGCTAAACTTATTGAAAAGAAGTTAGAAATATCTTAAGTTTTCCGATGGTGTGCGACACACTTGAGAAGTAGACTGGGCCCAGCTTGGATTTGGCCAACTGGTCGGCAGCAGGTCGAGGAGGTGGAGTGGGTCCGACTTGGAACGGGTAAAAGGGTCAACTTGTCAGGGGACGCGGGGCGTAGCGGATTTGAGAACTACATTAGTTGTGAGTCATGTATGTTGTAGTTGTTCACTTAAGTCGTATTGAGATATCGTAATGTTATTAGATTAGAGTTGCATAAGCTGCGAGCCACGTAGGGTGTATGTAGTCACATAGGACGCAGTTGTGAGTTGTATTAATATTTGTTGGTTGAAGAGATCAGAGTTGCAACCTGCATGAGTTGTGGACCACAAAAGCCATAGTAAGAAGTTGTGGTAGTGAAGCACATGGACTTTAGGCCATAATGAGGAGCTATAAAAGGAGAAATTTAGATGTTCAAAGGTTATCTTATTGTGGCTATGAAAATTGTAAATAGCTATTATGATGAGTTACACCGTACTCAAGATGCATTGTTACGTCGTATGTGAGTGTACCATTCCACCGTCTTGGTGGTGCATTCTTAAGCTGCATTTGGGTTACGTCGTTACACCATCTTTGAGGTGTGTTGTTACACCTTAAGATTCATCGACACCATCGAACAGGGGCATGTCGACTATGGTCACTGACAACCAACGAATGGTGATCAACATCCATGTGAGCTTGTTTGTTGGAGCTTCAGTTCAAAACAACGCTGTTATACGACTCATTGTCCTAGTGCAACTGTAGCTTTCAATCTCTCTCATTTCTCCTCTTCATGAATGGAGTACAACTCTATTTATAAATTTTGGGAGTGCCTTTTGTACAAATAAGGACAAATTCTAGACCATCCATGATTGCACAAAATTCAGTAGACATATTGACAATGTTATAATTTATTATTGGATTTATCTCAATGAGACACTGAGTTTGATCGAAAGTTTGTTGGATTTAGTATCTATTTGACTCTCTTATTAACCCTTGTAAATTACCAAATGTTGTTTAGTGATTTGATGCATGTTGGATTCGACTTATAATGGAATAATTTTGGTGTCATTATGTTTGTCTCGTCGAGTCGTTCAATTTAACTTATAAGTTTGTTGAAATGAGAGTTTTAGATGGATTTTAATGCAACTTTGAAGATTTATTGCTAAAAAAATTGTTTTGAGATTTTCGCTCATTGTCTCGAAATTCATGTCAAATAATAAAATTTATTAACGATATATAAATAATGATAAGTAATTAATATTTAATTTATTTAAAATTTACTAAAATTAAGAATATTTTTTTTATTTATCATTAAATGTATGAGGTAAGATTAATTTATTCAAACAATTTATAGTCCATCTCATGAATTTAATAAAAATTTACAACCACATTAAAAAATTGTACTCATTCCCCTTTAGTTTCTAAAATTATAATAATAATGATGTGTGCTAGAAGATTCATGACAGTAGAATAATATATTATTTTCTTAACATCATATGAAAACTCAACATACACACAAATAAAGAAAAATAATCAGTTGAGACCACTTGTACCACAGACGAAAAAATATTACAAGGCATCCCAAGTTATAGTGTCGACATGCAGATAAATTTGTTGCAAGGAATGTGCGGTGACCGATGGTGGTTGAAGACAGTCAAAGATGGTTAACGATGACAGTAGCGATGCTGGACTTCAACTCTTTAAAGTTTCAAGCTCTTCTTCAAACCTCAAGCTCTCTCTCACCGACTGCAATTAGTGACGAAATTTGAACCACTCAAATCAGAATGTCCAAAGAGGTTCATTTGATCATACAGTTTTTGATAGACCTTTGAGTGTCTTAATGATGTTGGAATTGAGTGATATTGGGTTAGTTGGATTTGTCTTGTCGAGACACACTATTTGACTACAAGTTCGCAAATTTAACATCCATTTGAATTTCCAAATGTGACTAGAAAGGTTCAAAAAAAATATTTAATGGCTTGATCTTGGCTCGATTTAGTTCAGATTTGATCAATTTTAGTACAATTAGTTTCGTCTCGTCGAGCCGGTCAGTTTGACTTTAAGTTTGCCGAAATTGAAGCATTTTATGACTTCTAATTAAAGTTTTTAATTTTTTTTTGCTAAAAAAATTGACATGAGATATGTGTATTACCTCAAAATTTGTGCTTGATGATGAAAATTTGTTGGAGGCTTATCAGTTAAATGGGAATATTGACGGACAAATTCCAGTATTTGATCTTCCATTTAATTTTATATTTAACGAAATGAATTTTTTTTGTAAATATAAAATAATAATATATTATTATAATAGATGGCACTCAGCGGTCGAACCACAGTGACTTGCCATCGACCACAAATGGAACGCAAGACACCCGCAAAAACAAAAGGATTGCCAAGCTGGCGATCCTCGTGCTCCATAAAAACGAGATCCTCACCCTTCATTGTAACCCAATCGAACGATCCATATTTACTTTCCGCTGAATCCCAGAATTTTTGAACTTTAACCAGTCGCCACCCGCGTCACCCCATCCTTACAAATACCCATATCATGCTTGTCTCCAATCTCATCCACCTCTACTTGCTCTACAACAAAACCTAACCCTAAATTCTTACTCCTGAACTCTTCTCCTTTCTTCATCTTCATGGCGAGGACAAAGCAAACTGCTCGCAAGTCAACCGGCGGCAAGGCTCCGCGCAAGCAACTGGCGACCAAGGCCGCAAGAAAGTCTGCTCCGGCCACCGGCGGCGTCAAGAAGCCACACCGCTTCCGTCCCGGAACAGTGGCTCTCAGAGAGATCAGGAAATACCAGAAGAGCACGGAGCTTCTCATCCGCAAGCTTCCATTTCAGAGGTTGGTGCGTGAAATCGCCCAGGACTTCAAGACTGATCTCCGCTTCCAGAGCTCTGCTGTCGCTGCTCTCCAGGAGGCTTCTGAAGCGTACCTGGTTGGGCTTTTTGAGGATACTAATCTCTGCGCCATTCACGCCAAGAGGGTCACGATTATGCCAAAGGACATTCAGCTCGCTCGCCGGATCCGCGGCGAAAGAGCTTAAGTGCTTTTAGGCTTTATAATTGTAGCTTCAAGATTTCGTTTGGGGTTTATGCTTCAATCGATTAAGAAATGCTTATATTAGATTTCTCTTTTTTTCTCGTTCAAAGTAAGGGTTTTAATGGGCAACGTTGTCTGTATTATGTAAGTTTCTTATGAAGATGCGAATTATTGCAATTATCTTAATGATTTCTGATCTGAAGTTTGTTCTTGTTGCAATAGCTCTCGTTTTAGTCTATCATCTCTGTTATTTGTAAAGGATTTGAATCATGTTGTGGAAACATGAAGCTGTATGCGCAAGCGAAGTTCTATTATACGCAACTGGATTCCACTTTCAGATTATAGAACACAATTCAAGTGATGCGGATCATGTGATTATATGATTCTATCCTATTGAGTCTTGCCATAATTTATGCATACATCATTAGGTAATAACGGGGGATTGTAAATATTGTTGTTTATTCATAACTCTTAATTATGACATAAAATGAGACACTTGTAATTTTTTATTATCTTTTGGAAGTCTCATCCATTTATAAATAGATGATAGGTCTTAAGGGATGAGTAGACCACCATAAGGAGAGAATCTTATCAAGAAGATCAAGAGGAGGAAGAAAATTCGGCAAGAAGAGGAAGGAGTGGAGAGGGTTTAGAATTGAGGGAGAGGTCTTATAGAGAGAGATTTAGGTGATTCCTTAATGTAATGAGCCTGTAATTCTTCTTTTGTGCTAGTGAATTTGGTAGCGATTCTTTCCATGGATGTAGGTCTAAGGATCGAATCACGTAAATTTTTTTGTTTTTATGTTCTTATTTGTTGTGGCATTTCTTTCCTCTATTTTTTTTTTTTGTTTTCTTTTGTACATGCTTGTTGTGTTTTCAGTTCTTGGAAAATGAATTTTTATATCAGCTCAGGTTCTTGGATTCAGGGAGATTGCTTGGTTACTGTTGTCATCTCCCTCGTAAAGAGAAATCTAATATGCATGTTCTTATTTGGTTACTGTTGTCATCTTCGGCAATCCCAATCCTTGGCTTCCAGTAAAGTCCACGACAAGGAAAGAGAAGAACCACGTAAAGGGAGAGTTCGGCAGTTAGCAAGGTGAACTCCTATCCATTTGGCGAAAACAGAAGAAGCAAGCGTTTAAAACTGTTGCAAGAAGTACTGTACAAGCATACGAGGGAGAACAATAAACCACAAGCAAGAAAGGAACAAAAAGGGTCTTCGGTAGTCCTTTTTTTGGGCTGAAGGGGTTCGGCTTGAAGCAGCTTGCAGGTTCTTCCATCCAAGAAGAACAGCCCCTCGACATATATTCTTTGGCAATTTTATTATCAATTCTTAATCATCTAACTCAATAAATAGGGAGTTCTTTGGAACAATTCTTGTAGGTGTTCTGCGGAGTTGATTTCACAACAAATATGCATGTTTTTAATGATAAAATTGAATTATTTAAATTCTATTGGATATTCATCTTGGATGATGGACTTGACATTTCTTTGTTTGTTTGATCGTATATGAGTATTTTACAGAACTTCGTTGCCCTAGGAAAAAAGAATGCATGCAAATGGTCGTGGAAGTGTTACTTTACTTTCAATAAGCTTATATTCTTGTTTGATGAGTGATTTTTGTTGTTCATATCCTACTTGCATCGTGCTTTTAATATGTTATTGAAATATCACATCAACATACATTGAATTTTAAATTTTATTTGCATCGTGCTTTTAATATGTGACACATTTATGTTAGATAGTGGACACAAGAAGTGTCAGACATATCATTGTTGCTTTATTACACATTTTGGTAAGTGATATATTATGTTTTTTATATATGGATGATGTGCTATTTGCCGCAACAAATATGAAGAAGATTAGAGGCTTGAATGAGCTATTATCATGAGAGTTTTAAATGAAAGATTCAGATCCAACCAAGAAAATCCTCGGTATGAGAATTAGTAGGGATGGATGTGAAAAGTGTTATGATGTGGAATCTGATTATGTCGATCAATTAGTTGCTCAAAACTTTAAGTTTCGCTAACCAAGTTTGACGATGAGTTTGCTCAAGGGATAGAGGTGGGGATCCCCTATATTGGGTTCGGGGGCAGCAATGTCCAACACTGGTACGTCTAAAAGTGAGTTGAGTTGGATTTAAGTTTCTCTTGTGTGACATAGAGGAGAGAATTCCTAAAGTGCTCCAAGTTGTGGATAGGTTTGTGCATAGTGTAATAAGTACAATTCTCTTCATTTTTCATGGTGGATGTTTGATATGGTATTGTACAATAGTTCTTTTTTTCCCATTCCTAGCTTTTTTAAGTTAAATCTTTTTTTTTTTTGTATTTTTTGTGATATCTCATTTTTTATTTTGTTAAGTTTTGCTTCAAATTTCTAGAATCGATTTTCTAAATATTTTCCCAAACAAAAGAGTTTAGAAAATTCTCATTTCTTTGGGAATATAGTAAAGATTATATATATTTATATATCTAAATTAATGCATGGTTATGATTAAAAGGTGTTAAGTTGGCAAGAGTCCCCATTTACTTTCTAAGAGAAATTCTAACTTGAAGGTAAGAAAATTTATCATTTTAATCATAACTTGATACAATAAGAAAACTTTTCATACTTGAGGCCGACGAAGGGCTTGCTATTGTTACTTACTCATTTGGAGGATTATATTTCATGTTGAACTTAATTTTACTAAATTTGTTTACTTTAATGTAGTAACGAAATAATTAAGATTCTAAGGATAGTGTAGAATCATTAATTTTAAAAAAATTAATTAGATGTTGTTATTATATAATGCTTCCATAAATAATGTGTTGAATGCATAATTTATTTAGATCATTTTGTATTTAGGATTTGTGGAGCATAATGCCTCGAAAGGGTAAGATTTGCCTTGTAAAAGACATGTTGGGCGCTCTGTGATTCTTGTTTGTAGGTGACTTCTTAGTTCTTATTAAGCAAGAGATAAACACACTATTCCTTGTTAGGGACTTGTTCCTTGATATTTATTGTTGTGTTCTTACTATTTATAAAATTATATGGAATGTGCTTTTTTTAGTTAATGTATTTGACATTATCAAGTTGATATGATGTGATTGTTAAATCTCTCGATTTGTTTTTGCATAAACTACTATACATTAAATTATTCTAATTGGTTAAAATATTTAACTTCACGTTATTTCCATCAAATGCAAAAGTCTTTTTATTTTCGCAAAATATGTTTTATGTATACATGATCATGATTTTTATGCTCCTAAAAATGTTTCGCATGTAATGTATGCAATGTAAATGATTATTAATAATATGTATGAAGGTCTTAAACCACTTTGGATGCTAGCTAGCCAGACCAACAGATCCATCGAATAACGGCTCTACAAGAAATCATTGGACTTTCTTGGGATTGGTGCATTCATTTCCCAATTTCAGAGTGATGTAATAAAACAACTATATATATATATATATATATATTATAAGAAAGTAAAGCTTAGATAAAAGACCGGAAAACTAAAAGTTAGTTTCACATTCACGCCATGTATTAATATAATAAGCTTAATATTGTTGCATATTGCTGCATGGATGTTGTATAATCTACAAGCTAAACATCTAATGTCTAAAGTCTTGTAGTTACCTCTGAGCAGGTGAAAAGAACTCTTTCATAAAGACTTCCTGTATCTACTTTACCTTCACTAGAAAAGAGAGGATTGTTGGCAAGTGGAAGAAACAGTTTTGTTTTAATGTTTGCAGTGAGAAATTATGGCTAAACTGGATGTGGCAATCATGTCTGGTGACAGTATGGTTTGTTGGGTTTACAATTACTAAACAAGAAAGTCCTCCCTGCAAAAAGAAAAAAACTGATATGAATGGAGATACAATGGTGATGGATGAAAAGATAATAAATAACTGAAGAAGATGCAGCTGGAAGCAAAAAAAATTAGGATTCATGATATAGTAGACAGATTAAGAGTTAGCTCAAAAAATATTAAAAGAAAGTAAAGCTTAGATGTAACCTGTATGATATATAAAATAGTAGTTTTTATTCCACCTCACACAATTGCAAATAAGATCAGAAAACTAAATGCCACTTAAATCAGAAAAGAAAGTATTGTTTATTGTATTGTGTAAGCCCACATCTTTTTTTTTTTCAATAAAAACCTAATTCTGAAAAAAAAATAAAAACTACTATTGATAATCATAAGATCCCCAATTGAGATAGATAGTGATGTTGTTTATAATCTTAATACTAATAAACGTACATTACCAGTAGTTAAAACTACTCCTCAGAAAGAGAGAGCAGGCTTTGATATTTTTTTAAACCACGCTGCTAAATTTATGAGAGGTTAAATTTGGTTCTATTAAAACTCACAAGCCTATTCGGCTTTTTTAAGCAACAACACAACAAACAACAACAACAAAGCCTTAATCCCACTACGTTGGGTCGACTACATGAATCCTTTTTCTCCATTGTGTTTTATTTAGTGTCATATTTTCATTTAGTTCTTATAAATTATAAACCCAAGTTTTCCTAGGTCTACCTCTGTCTTTCTTAACATAAGTCAAATCTAAAATATCTACTCTCCTAAATGGATCGTCAAATGGTCGACGTTTAATGTGACTAAACCATCTAAGGCGACTCTCTCTAATTTTGTCCTTCATCGGAGCTACACCAACCCTATTCGGGATATATTCATTTCGCATTTTGTGTCTAAGTGTAAAGCCACTCATCCACCTAATCGTTCTCAACTACTCGTTCTCAACTCGTCAACACTTAACTTATTATTATGCTTCTCTTTTAAAGACAAACATTCAACGCCATAGAGCAATGTAGGTCTCACTACCCTCTTATAGAATTTTCCTTTCAATCTAAGCGGTATTTTTCTATCACACAAAAGGCCCGAAGCATTCCTCCACTTCAACCAACCAACTTGAATTCTACTATTAACATCCCCATCTATAACACCATCGCTTTGAACAACAAACCAACCCGAGATATCTACGAGATATCTAAATCGTTCACACCTTTTAATAATTTGATCACCCAAATTTACACTTCTATCACTAGAGCTACTACTATTAAAACTACATTCCATATATTCAATTTTAGTTCTACTTAAATAAAGACCTTTAGACTCCAATGCAGACCTCCGTAATTCAAGTTTTTCCTGCGCTTTTTCTCTCGTCTTATCCATGAGAAGGATTCATCAGCAAAAAACATACACCAAGGTACATCCTCCTGTAAATGTTCACTAAGACAATCCATAACTAAAGCAAAAAGATATGTGCTTAAAGCCGATCCCTGATGTAATCCAACAGAAATAAGAAAATATTTGGTCAATCCTCCTTTAGTTTGAACACAAGTAATAGCTCTAGTATACATATCCTAAATGACTTGAATCTAAGTCATATCTCTTGGAACCTTTCGTCTCAAGAGCTCTCCAAAAGATATCTCTTGGAACCTTATCGTAAGCTTTTTCTAAATCAATAAAAATCAAATGTAGATTCTCTTTATTATCTCTGAACTTCTCCATCAAACTTCTCAATAAATATATAGGTTCCATCGTAGACCTGCTCGACATAAATCCAAATTGATTATGAGAAATCTTTGTAATAAGTCTTAACCTATGTTCAATTACCCTCTCCCACAATTTTAAAGTATGACACATCAACTTAATTCCTCTATAATTTGCACTCTTGTGCACCCTCTTTATTCTTAAAAATGAGACCAAAATACTCTTCCTCCACTCAAGCATCTTTTAAGTTATTAAATAATATTAAAAAGTTTAGTGAACCAAGAAACTCCCAAATCTCCTAAACATTTTCATGCTTCAATTGGGATATCATCAGGTTCTACAGACTTTCCACCTTTGATTTTCTTTAAAGTCTCCTCAACTTTTTTTTACTAATGCGATGGTAAGAGTGAAACGTTTTACAACATTAATTCTATCTCCAACTCAATTAATTTTACAACATTATCTTTCAAACCCTTATATATAATTACACCTACACCAGTGCGACTCTTACAAGAATACCAGAGTTTAAAACCTAAGTTATCAATCTCCTTGACCTTTTCTCCAACCCATTTAATTTCTTGAATACATAAGATATTAATCTTTCTATGAATCATAGTATCAATTAATTTCATTAATTTACCATTGAAGGTGTCTATATTCCAAGATCCTATCATAATATCAATTTCATTAATTTTATGGACTAACTTCTTTACCCGGATCCGTCTGTAATGTGGGAACCCTTGCTTATTTGACACTACACCTAGGCGCCGGTGTAACGGTCCTTGCATACTTTTCACTGTATTAAGGCTATAGAGCGCGTCACTTCCAGGGGAAGTCCTTGCACTTACACAAATATCAAAAAAATTCATGTCATGATTTTTTTTTCAACTAGTTTTATGCTGGTTGTGGACTACCTAAAACAACTCTCCACTTTTCACATTCGGGCTTTGGACCAGCAATGACAGTGTTATTATCGTAAGTTTTTTCTAAATGAATAAAACTCAAATGTAGATCCTCTTTATTATCTCTGAACTTCTCCATCAAATCTCTCAATAAATGTATAGCTTCCATAGTATACCTTACGTATAGCTTCCATAGTATACCTGCTGGACATAAAACCAAATTGATTATGAGAAATCTTTGTAATACGTCTTAACTTTCGTTCAATTACCCTCTCCCATAATTTTAAAGCATGACACATCAACTTAATTCCTCTATAATTTGCACACTCTTGTGCATCCCCTTTATTCTTAAAAATGAGGACCAAAATATTCTTTCTCCACTCCTCTCTCCACTCCTCAGGCATCTCCACTCCTCAGGCATTCTTTTAGTTTTAAAAATAATTTTAAAGAGTTTAGTAAGCCAAGAAACTCCCAAATCTCTAAATATTTTCACACTTCAATTGGGATATCATCAGGTCCTACAGACTTTCCACCATTTGTTTTCTTTAAAGTCTCATAAACTTCTTTTTTTACTAATGTGACGGTAAAAATAAAACGATTTATTATTATTAACGATATTAAAATAACTAAGGTTGATCGTATTTTCAGAAACTTCATTAAAAAGCTTATCAAAATAGCACACTCACCTATATTGAATATTTTTTTCTATTAAAACACTTTATGATTTTCATATTTAATACACTTTACTTGGGTTAAATATTTACTTTTTTTCTCTTTGTTTGGTTAGTTTATACATATATTTCTCATCCTCCTTAATATCTAATTTATTATAAAAATCACTAAAAACAAAATTTTTAGTGTCACTGATAGTTCTTTTAGACTCCCTGCAAGTCGTTTGATATTTTTCCTAGTTCTCTAAGCTTTTGCAATTAAATTAATTTTTATAACATAACTTCTTATATTTTATATTTTCTTGCACATTATTATTCCACTGCCAACTATTTTTATTTATAAAAATTTTTTCTTTTGATTCTACAAGTACATCTTTTGTTACTTGTTTAATAGTGTTTTTAACTTCATCCCACATAACATTTGCATCATTTTAAACATCCCAAATTTTGAAATCTTGAATTTTACTTATAAAAATAATTTTATCTCTCTTTTAGGTTTCTTCATTTAATTCTACGATTATGAGACTTAGCATTCTTTATTTTACAACCCTTCATCTTAAAATCTAGAACTAAAAATCGATGTTGGGTACTTAAATCCGCACTTGGAATGATCTTACAATCTTTACAATCTCGGCGATCTCTTATTCTCGTAAGAAAATAATCAATTTGTGTTTAATTAGATTTATTCTTATAAGTAATAGGATGTTCATCTCTTTTCTTGAATAAAGTATTAGTAATAACAAAATCATATGCTAAATCAAAATCTAAAATGATTCGACGTTCTTCATTCATCACTCCAAAACTGTAGCCACGATGAATATTTCTGAAATATTCTACCCCTCTACCGACATAATCCATTGAAATCTCTAATAAAAATTCATTCTTCAAAATGTATCATTTGTATTAAGTCTTCTATATCATTCCAGAATTTAAATATATCTAGACGCACTTGAGAAGCATAAGCATTTATAAAATTAAAAATGTTAATATCAAAAATAATCTTAAGAGCTATAATTCTATCACCAACTATATTAATTTTTACAACATTATCATTCAAACTCTTATATATAATTACACCTATATCATTTTTAGTGTGATTTTTATTAGAATACCAAAGTTTAAAGCCTAAATTATCAATCTCCTTAGTTTTTTCTCCCACTCATTTAGTTTCTTGAATACATAAGATATTAATATTTTTATGAATCATAATATCAACTAATTACATTAATTTTTCATTAAGAGTACTTATATTTCAAGATCCAATGCTACTTTTAGTTTCATTAGTTTCAGGGACTAACTTATTTACAAGCATTCGTCTGTAATGTAAGAACCCTTGCTTATTTGACACTACATCAGATCGCCGGTGTAGCGGTCATTGCAAACTTTTCATTGTATTTAGGTCATACAACACGTCGCTTCCAGGGGATGCCCTATCACTTATACAATGATTAAAAGGATTCATGTAATGATTTTTTTCGACAATTTTTATGCTGGCTGCCGACTACCTAACACAATCCTTAACTTTTCACATCCAGACTTGAGACCGGCAATGACAGTGTTATTCTGTTTTTTTAAGCGTATTATAAATTTAATGTCAAGTCACAACTAGGGCTGTCAAAAATGCTAGTTGTTCATGAACAATTCGTGTTTGACTTGTTGAGTAGCTCTTGTTCAAATCATTCGTCAAGTAAGCAAACAAAACACAAAAAAAAATTCAGATCGAATTATAAACAAGTTGAACACGAACAACCCTT